GGTATTTATAGTGATACGAATTTTATATAGATTTTTATTTCTTAAAAAAGAAAAAGTTGTCACAACAGTTTTTTTTTGTTTCTTTACATTTGAAAATAACCTTAATAAGAAAAGCGAAAAGATTGAAGAAAAAAAAAGTAGTTAAGGAATGTGTTTCCTTTTTAATACGCATCATTTCCTGTTCATTGGTATCCAACAAACTATTCAATTTTCATCTATCTTCTGATACATCTGTTGTTGTCAATTTTGGTGTCGTTATGGTCGATGTTTTTTTTCTGATTTTAATTCAATTTTTCTATTATTCATTCTTAGCGGTTTTAGTAAATGTTGAAAGAAAAAATAAATTTTTTTTTCTTTTGCTTTTAGTGGACCAACAGTTAAGTTTTTATTTATCAAAAACTTTTTAATCGTTTGAGTATATTATTAGTGTAATAACATAAATATCTTATTTTCTACAGTTTTTGTTGGTCGATTTGTGAAATCTAATAGCCGTTCATCAATTATTTAGCCAAATCTAAGATAAATCTGCTGTTACAGTCAGCAGTCTGCAGTCTGTAACAGCAACGATCTGGCGACAGTCATTAAATTTTACCTCTTCAGCTGGTGTCTAAATCTGTTTGAGATACAGTTTTTTTGCTATTTTGCAAGATTTAAGCATTATTAGCGGGATGGAGAATAAGAAAAAGTTATATTGATTAAAATTTTAGCTGTCTGATAGGCACAATTGACAGAACAGCAATTTATTGAACTGTCAACAGATTTATTTTAGTAACATATCTTTTTTGTTTGTTTGTAGTTGTTGCAATTTCTCAGATTTAATCTACTGATATCTATGAAACTAACTTTTGTTTGTGCTGACATTAATTAAAGAAAACTTGTTTTATAGATGTGAATGGGTAACGTTTTAAAGTTGTCAAAATTTCGCAAACAGCGCCGCATTTCCCCCAACATTTGATTTATTTTTTGTTCGTTCGTTTTTTTTTCTTTTTTTTTCTTTCATTTTTTGTTTGCAAATTTGTATTTAAATACGGGTATTACGGTGATAAAGGTATGGGATGTCAATATTTTGGGCTTTTGATCGTTGATTGAGTCTTTAATTAGTAATGGTTGCATGAAGATGATTGTCGGAGATGAACTGATTCTTGATTGATTGTTAATTGCAAATATTTATCAGCTGATTTTCATTTTGACGACGACAGTATCTTGATTTTTTTTTTAACTGCATTAAGCCTTGGACTAATAAAAAGAAAACGAAGAAGAAAGGGAAGAGGAAAAACTAGAAAGCAGTTATTTTTATTTTCATCAATTCGTAGCAGTAATAAAGATGTTTTGAGAAGAAATCGGCTTTTTGGTTCACATATCGTAAATCACCAATCATTTTTCATTGTTTTGGCTTTGACTTTTTTTTCATGTTTTTCCACTTATTTTTATCGGTATTTTTTCTTCTCTCAGTGGAGACGTTTGCTATTTTACACCTCGACCATAAATGCCTTGTTTGCGTCATCTGTTTGAGACGTTTTTGGCCGTAACAGTAGTCATCGTTAACCTCTACCTTATCAACCTTACAATAATAACAATAAAAAATTAGAGTTTTTTTAATTGCCGAATCATGCAATATTATAATTACTTAGCAATCTAAAGATTTTAGCCGTTTTTCAAAATTATACCGATACGAAGTGGCTCTGCCAATCGCCTAGCTGGTTAGCGCTGAGGGATTGTTGATTGGTATCCCAAAAATCACATTCTACAACGTCTCTCTTCTCCCATCTCCACCGTTCCTTCATTAAACTTTTCGTTGTCGTTTTTTTTTCTACGGCAGTTCTCATAGAAACTCTTATAGCTCACACTTGTTTTAATTTTAGATATGTACAAAGATCAAAGAAGAAAAATAAAAAAAAAGGATAAACAATACTACGTTTTTTTTGTGGTTTTTCTACTGCTTCTGTCCATGTTTGTTTCTTATTCAAATTCCTTATGAAATCTAAAAGATCTCCAATTTTTTACCGTTTTTTGGCTTTCGGCTTTTTCTTTCCGCAGTTGCTGTCTTTCCCACCTGATTTTTGGTTAGCTGACTCCTTAAACTGCTCTCATTTTGATATGTTTTAATTTAAAGAAATGTTTTTGTCAAAAAATGAATTTTTTGTGTTTTCAAATGCTCAGAAAAACTTGTTGTCTATTTTTATTAGATGACTTTATTTCTTTTTGAACGTTTTGGTTATGATTATCAACAGTAATTACGCTATTTGTTTTTTAATGTTCAAATCATTTTTACAAATTATGAAGAAATATGTTACCAACACGTCAAGACAGTGTATGGTTTTTGATTTGGTGTAATAAAAAAAAAAAACTAATAGAAGTGGCCAGTAGACATCGAGAGGGCTATATGTTTTTTTTTTTTGATGATCTTCGTTTGAAGTGGGCGGTGGGATGTTCTTATTCTGAATTTTTAAAGCATAGAAGATATAAATTTTTTTGGCTTGATCCATACGATCTAGAAACTTTTAGGCTTCTACCTCAAGCAGCCAGCAGTGTATCCCATCGAAGCGATTCGGCGGCATGCGTCCTATTGCCAGGGCTAACGCAACGACAACGTAATGTTTGCGCGCGGCATCCCGGCAATATCCAATATGTCATCGCCGGGCTAACAGCCGCGGTTCGCGAATGTCAGGCTCAGTTTCACGACCAACGGTGGAACTGTTCGTCGCACAAGCATGCACTTGCTTTACCACAAGTGAAATGTAAGTTTCAGCTCTTTAACGACTGGCTAGAATTTTCAAGTCATAACTCATAATAGCTAAATGAGTTATTAGTGGTAATTGGGCTTTATTCCTTAACTGTATGAGATTGCCGTTTATTTTTAATGTTTATTTTTCTTTAGTGTATTCTGCTCAGCTTCAGTCTCGCATGCACAGTCTCTTAGCTCACCTGTTGGCGACTTCTTTTCGCATCTGAAATTTTATGTTTTACATTTGGAAAAAGGCGTATATTTTAGAGCATCTGATGTGTTAGGTAATTGTCAGTATTACTCCACTAACCAGTTGAATACTACATTGAATTTTGACAAAAGTTGGAAAATTTGAGTTTTTTATTCGAATTATTATTTTTTTTATTTTTATTTTTTTTTTT